AGCTCACCCAGCCCTCCTGCTGGTCGACCTAAATGAGTCACAGGACCAGCCCAGGCCCTGCAGCCTTCTGCCCTCTGCCTGAGACCCCACACCCCAAACCTTATCCTGTTTCACCTGCCTGCATCCCACCCATCGTCCAATATCCAGTCTGGACTTGGAACACCTTTAAGACCACTGGAATAAAAGGCCACTGGAGTAAAAGAGGTGTGATTTTGCCATTTAAAATTACTCCAACCTACAACCAGGAGAGAACAAAATAGATGAATGGGACCTTCTAAGAAACAAATCCCAATGCACATTTAAAAAAAAAAAACAAAAAACAAACTTCTACAACATGGTGAAAAGGAAACCCACAGACTGGGAAAGAATATTTGGTAATGACATGTCTGATAAGGGACTCATATCTAAAATTGATAGAATACTCCAGCACCTCAACAAGAGAAAGGTAAATAACCCAATTGCAAAATGGGCACAGGATATGAATAGACACTTCACCAAAGAAGATATCCAGGTGGCACACACACACACACACACACACGAAGAAATGTTCAAAATCCCTAGCTATCAGAGAGATGCAAATCCAAACAACTATGAAATAGCACCGCACCCCAGAACAATAGCAAAGTTCAGCAGAGCAGTAAACAATAAATGCTGGTAAAATTGTGGAGAGATTGGAGCCTTTATTTACTGCTGGTGGGAGTATACAAAGGTACAACCACAATAGAAGGCAGTATGGTACTTTCTCAAAAAGTTGGAAATAGAGATACCATTTGACCTAGCAATGCCACTACTAGGAATATACCCTAAAGAAACAAGAACTTCCATCCAAACAGACATATTCATACCCATGTTTACTGTTATTTACAATAGCAAAGAGATGGAAGCAACCCAAGTACCCATCAACAAACTAGTGGTAGAAAAACTATGGTATATTCATACAATGGAATACTACACAGCACTGAAAACCAATGAATTCTTAAAACATTACACAACATCAGGTACCCTGGAGAACATCATGCTGAGTGAACTATCTCAGTCCCGAAGGGACAAATACTGCATTGCTCCACTGTTACATAGCATGTCTGACATCAGGAATTGGAAGGTAAATAGGATAAACGTAGATAGAGAATGACCATTGCATTGGAACAGATAAAGAATTGTTTAAAAGGAATATATGAGTAAGCAGGTTTTCAGAGGGAGTTAACCGCACAGGAGATTGGCCAACCTTCTTTCGTGGAGCAGCTGGTGGGATTCAAACCCCCTGCCTTTGAGACTACACTGCAGCTTTTTGCCACCTAGGCCACCAGAGCTCCCTGGTGAAATAGGAATAGATTATTCAATGATGAGGGAGTGCGAGGAGTACCACTTTTAATTTGGTTTTGTTTTTCAAATGATCAAGGTCAGTTTTTAAATATCCGAATACCCAGTTATATAATTTATTGATTATTCTTGCTTTCTCCTCACCATACTATTTATTTTTCTTATTTGTATCAAACCTTTGCAAATCTTGCCAGGATTAAAAGGGAGGGGGAAAGATGAGGCAAAGATATTTTGTTCTGTTTAACCTAAACAAGGGAGAAAAAATGAGAAGCAAGCGAATGAAGTGAGACTTGGGGCCTTTGCTCTTACTTCTCTCTTAAGGGAGCTCTGACAGTGTCGGTGTCGTCCAAGGCATGTATGTAAGTCGCTAATCCAAAAGCAGCCGCTCTCTGCGGGTTCAACGCTATCAGCAGCTCCAGGGGAGAAAGGTAAAGGTGGGAATCTCTTCCCACGTGATTCACAACCTCCGAAAACCCACTGGAAGGTCAGCTAGAAGTGGGTTCTGACTCCACAGCGGTGAGGTTTTGAGTCATCTAATCACCATCTGACAAAGACTAGCTGTGTTTTCTTGAACCTCAGTAACGTCTTCAGTACTTGGAGGTGCTGTAGATTTTCACCTCCAGAAAACTCCCATCACCACTGAGGGGACGCCTAGTTTCCTGGAAATCTCCTAGGGACAGAGCAGAACCCGCCCACGGGACTGTGAGCTGGACAGAAGCATGCTGCCATGGAGTTCTCTTGCAGAGCTGCAGATGGGTTCTAAGCACTGATCTTTGGCTAACAGTCAACATGTAACCATTGTGACACAAGGGGCCCTTTATTTCACCCCAGACCCCCAAAACACTGCTGCTGTTGCTATTGATTGCCCGTCGAGTCGGGAGTGACTCATAACAACTAATGCCTTTCCATAACCATCATCATTTCTCCAAGTTCACTCCTGCTTCCAAACCTGTTTTACAACTGGGAGCGCCACCAAACACTGTCCACAATGGGACAACGTTCAGCATCACAGCAACCCTGGTTACTTCAAACAGCACACTGGCAAAGAGTGATACACAAAGTGAAAGAGTGTTCCTCCAGATATAATAACAGCACTAGTTTCACTTAGCAATGATTATGTGTCATCAAGTCAAATATGACTGCACAAAAGACTTAAACTCTGTTCTATAACTAACATCATTTCTGTACATTTGTAGAGTTTAGAGAGTTTTAACATCATCAGTAACAATTAAGACATAAATCTGAAAAATGATCCATGTCAATGAATCTACTTTGCAGTGTTGGTTTGTCTAATCACAAGCTCATCTAGAAGGCTGGAAACTCAGTATGGTGCTAACTGCACTGGCTCTGCCCACTTAGTGCTGGGTGGAAGGAAGTCACTTCACACATCACAGAAGGACCCTCAAGCAGTGTCCTCCCATAGAATTAACTGCCTCTGAAAATCCACTGGAGGGTCAGCTATGGGCTGGTTCTGACTTGACATCAAACAACAACAACTGTAAATAATGGACATTTTTGTTTACACATTGGTCTCTGTTTGCCTGGTCACTGTCAGGGCATCCCAGCTTCTGCTTTCTGAGCTCTGACATTAACCAAACTTCCACCCAACAAGAATCAGCAGGCTGTGAAGTTCATTTACAGCTTTGCCCCAGAAACAGTTCGGCCTCTCACAGCCCTCCCTCCACCTCCCTCAGCCTCCAATTGGCCTGTAGGCGGTCCCCAAGCTAGCTAACCAGGAGGGCTTCAAGCATGCATTTCATTCAAACTGGCTTTCCAGTATTTGTTTTTAATTTTAGAGAATACAGCCAAACAGTTTGTGAAAAGGTGACATCAATAGCACACAGCATGCTGAAAGTAATTCTGCACAAAATATACAAGTAAGACAGCAAAACAATTCACTTGATCCAGACACAGAAATTCAAGCATAGCCATCTTGGCCAGCCTGTCCTTGTGGGCTTTCAGAGTTTATACTGCCCCCCGGTGGGAAATATGAGGTTACACTTCCACGCTATTTCCCTTTACTTTTTACTTTATTACTATTATTTATTTTATTAGAGAGAGAACTGACCTCCTTTCTGGGTAAAAATTGACCTCTACCACTTAGGAACGTGTGCACGGTATTGTCACTTGTTTCATTTTTCAAAATAAACTGGGTATCTCCTTTTTTAAAAGGCAAGAGGGTTCACAAAATGTTAAACAATTTCATTCTTTTTTTAATAAAAAAAGATTTATATTGATAGTATATAATGCTAAAATGTATATGCTTTACATATTGAAAAATCAAGAAAAACGAAAGCTAATTCACATGATAATTGGGTTGTTGGCATAGTACTCATATTGCATATTGACTGTACACATGAAACTGAGTTATTGAAATTACCTTGACAAAAATTACTAAACATGAATATATTTGAACAAAAAACATGTATTTAATATATCACTTTTTTCTATTGATGGCTATCAATCTTTTCATCTCTTATTCAAATCTTTTGTTTCCGAGCTAATATATATTCTATGTTTACACGATTTCCCTATAAATAGTATTTTTGTATCTTTTATACCCAGGTGGTGGGCAGATTTCACTCTTAAGACAGAAAAAAATGTGAAGTGCCTAATCTGTGAACTATGTAATGCAGATTCATGTCGAGTGTAGCATGATGAGTCAGGTATAATCTCACTGCCATGAATTGATTTATCCTCCACCAGGTCACAGGGCTATAAACTTCGACAGGAGGAGACTCGTTTTTGCAAGGAGTGCCTGGTGGATTTCAAATATCAACCTTTCAGTTAGCCGCTTGGCATATTATGCACTACACCACCAGGTGGGAGCTGTGGTGACTCAGTGGTAAGGAAGTGCAATGCCAATGCAAAGGTTCGTAGTTCAAATCCAGTGCTCTGTGGGAGAGAGACAGACACTCTCCTCCCCTGCAATTTACTGCCTCTGAAAACCCACTGGAGAGTCAGCAATGGGTCCATTTCAACTCAACAGCACACAACCCACCACCACCAGCGGTCCTAAGTTAGTATAAGTCAGGAACATTCTCTCCTTTCATGTGGAAAGGAAATCAAACTCCAACCTGCTGTCGCGGAGTGCCTTCTGACTCGGAGCAACCCTTCAGAACACAGGTTTCCACGGCTGTCAATCTTCACAGAAGCAGACTGCCTCATCTCCTGCAGAGCAGCTGATGGATTCGAACTGCCGACCTTGTAGTTAGCAGCCTACCCCTTACTCTGTGCCACCAGCACTCCTCCAGATGGGAGAGAAGATTGATTAACCAGTCAGTCCACCACGTGTCTGACAGCAGAAGCCTGAATGGTGTTCTGATGCTTGACGGGTTTGAGCAGAGCTTCCAGACTAAGGTGGGCTTGGAAGGAAGACCTGGCAAAGTGCTTCTGAAAACCAGCAAATGAAGACCGGATGGTTCATAAGGGTCTCGTCGGCAGCTAAGCCTGGGGGTGTGCAACTGGGCAGCGTTTTGTGCCATCTTTTTTTTTTAATTCATGAGATATTTATTAAAATAACACATTTAGGGAAAAAATCAATACAATGTATACATCATTACTGAAAACTGTATACCATCATACAAAAAAAGGATTTTATTTTGGGAAACTGATTTCTAATTTATGGCAAGTTTCACTTTCAGAAATAAAACCACAGAACAACACGATCTAATGCAATCTTAAAGGCTGGCATGCTGAGCAAGGAATGTTCTTATTCTTTGTAGGAGTTCCTTCTTTACACTGTCAGGTACCAGGGTTTTACATCTCTTACATCTGCCCATGCTGAGAGCCAGGGTTTGAACTATGTGTTCCTAAAATATGTGCTATAAATCCTCTGCCTTTTGGAGTGATTTCAGCCACCAAGTCATCAACAGTAACGTGTTCTAGTCCTTTTTCTTTAATTACCTCTTTACAGTGTGCTTTCAACTGGTCCTTCCAGCCACATTCAATTAGTTTGGCTCTCAGCAGTTCTTTGAGTCGTTCTCTTTCTCCAGTTTCTATCAATTTTTGGTTAATTGCTGCTCTCATCTGCGCATCTTTGTTCATCTTGCTAACCACACTCTTCGGCTGCCCAGACTTGTTTTGTGCCATCTTGTGTGGAGTCACCCCAAGTCCGGGGCTGACTGAGTGGCAGCAAACAACGAAGTGTAGCCGGCAAAGCCTGATGGGTTTTGAGTTCCCAGTGCATGGTGGGGCCTGGCTGGGGAGTGAGGGTGGCTGGCCTTGAGTGTAGCAAGCTGTCTGATGAAAGGCTGAACTGGCAAAGACCCACAGTCTGAGTTTCAAAATCATCGTCAAAGCTAGCACTGTGTCTAGTCCTCGCTAGAGCAAGAGTGGAAATCGAACAAAGCCACTCACAACCCCAAACATGCAAGCAAACTCCAAGCCACCTGCCAGTGGACAGAATCTTCTGGCTTGGATTTGAGGCTCCCTGAGGGAGGCTCCGGCTCAGGAGGGTCACAGGCTCTGTGACAGGTATTATCAGACGTCTCCTCGGCCTCATGCACCATTAAAATGCTGGACTTTCCACCATCACAGCTCCACAGCGGAAAGGAAGCCAGAGAGAAGCTGAGAGGCCATGTCCTCTGCTCACTGAGGGGTCAGATAGAAGTCAGAGAACGAGACCACAAAACACACCACTGAGATGGGGAAGTAGTGAAATTTCCCAATCAGGGGGCTGGGAAAGAGGGGAGGAAATCAAAGAGCCTTTTCAGAGGAGGATTGAGAGGCGAGCCTGTGCTCCAAACCCAAGACAGTGCCTGCTGCTCCTGGCAGAGGTGATGAGAGCGGCAGTGCTCGTCAGAGCTGCTCCAACCACCCTTGCCAAGAAATCATCCAAGAGCGGCCCGATCTTCATCTCGCTTGGGGGAATAAAACAACAACAAAACCAAAACACAAAAACACACCAACCTTTACCATTATTTCATTATTTGGACAAAAGTTTAAAGAGCACATGCTTTTCCATTCAACGATTCATACACAAAGTTCTGTGACATTGACCATGATCCCCACATTTTAACATCATTCCCACTTCCTCCTTGTGTTTTCCCTTTCCACTCCTCCTTCCTTCCTATCCTTTCTTGTCTTCTGAGTTTATACCGAGGCAAATGTTGATCTTCTAGTCTCATATGGTTGATTTCTTTTTCATCAACAACCAGAAACATGTCAAAGCCTTCAGCAGCATCTCTTCGTTTTGGAGAAAACAGGTGCCTTTTGCTTCTGAGGTTGATATTCTGTCAAATGGCTATAGGGGTCTTCAAGAGAGGTCTGTGGGTCACCTGCGTCAGAATCACCAGCTTCAGTTGCAAAAACTTGCTAATTCCTGGGCCTCACGCCCACACAGTCAAATTCTATCATGGCAGGTACTTGGAACCTGCATTTTTTTTAATAGCTGCCAGTTGATTCTTGTGGGAGGTGCCATCAAGGACGACTCAGAGAGACCCTCTGGACAACAAGTCGGAACCTTGCCCTGCACACTTCAGTCTGCAGCACTGGCGTTTCCCATCTTCTCATGCAGGCGGTGGGCCCTTCAGTGGGAGGCTCTGGGAACAGCAGGAGGAGACTCGTTCCTCTGACAAAGCCATTATTCCAAGGTGATCAGATCATAATCCACGGCTTGAGAATGCCTCTAGGCTACAGACCATCAGCCGCAGGGAGCTCTGAGGCTCAGCACAGCATACAGAGTTAACTGAAAGGTCTGTAGTTTGAAACCACCAACTGCTTAGCAGAAGATAGAGATGCAGTCTCCTCCCACGAAAATGTACACCTGGAAACTGTTGAGGGGCATCAGGGGTCAGAGCCAACTGCAAAGAGCGGGGGGTGGGGGGCGGCAGGGTTCTTTCTGAGGGGACCCTGGCTATGCCTGGAGGCATCTCTATTGTCAACTGGGTGATCACCACTGGCATTCAGGGGACCGTGGCCAGGGATGCTGCCAAACGTCCTCTAATCCATGGTCAAGGTGCCACAGCAAAAATGATTTGGTTTAAAATGTCAATAAGGACATGAAGGAGGACTCTGTCCTTGACCAAGAATAGCCTTTAGTTCTTATAAACAGATGCAAAAGATATAAATAGACAATTTGAACAAGAATTTTTTTCCTTGACAATTTGATTCAACAATCTTACTATCAGGTATGTATCCCAGAGAAGAGTGGGCTGCAACACATTCTCCCTCCCGTGTTTATTGCAGCATTATTGAAATAGCACAGAACTAGAAAGAGCTCAGGTGTCCATCAAAGGATGAAAGGTTGATAGATAAACAAAGGATGAATGGTTGAAGAAACTCTAGTGGGGTATATGCATCGCTAAGAAGCTACCAAGAATTTGTGAAACATTGCTGCTCCACGTGGATGAATCTAGAACTATATGAACTAACAGTCACAAAAAGAGAATTACAATGTAAGCCCACGCTGATAAAAGTCTAAGAAAGGGTTAACACACAGAAAGAATCAACCTTGGAGGGTTAACAGGAATGAGCAAGGAGGCAGAAAGGAGTAAAACTACATACATTGAGGGAAGGGAAAGGCAATACACAGTAAGAGGTTTACTGTTGCTGTTATGTACCATGGAGTCAAAATTGACTCATAGCTGACCCTCTAGTGGGTTTTCAGAGGCAGAGAATCACACAACAGGAGTTGTCTAACTTTTTCCCAAGGAGCAAGGTGGACTCAAACTGCTTGTCTTTGGGTTGGCAGCACAACTTTTTCCCACTAAGCCGTCAGAGCTCAGAGGCTGACTGGGCATCGTAGTTCATTAACTGCATTAATCAATGGTAATATGAGGGAGCTCTGCTGTCCTAGTGACAAGAAGCTGTGCTGCAATCTCCAAGGCATGTGGTTCGAGGTTACCAGTTGTTCCATGGGAGAGTAAACAATCTCCTTCCATTCACGGCCTCTGAAAACTGGCCAGAGGGTCACCTATGGGTCGGTTCCGACTCTATGGAAGACAACAACAACAACTGATGTTATACCAAGCTCCACTCTCCAGCCATCCCCATAACTGTTAGCAACCGTACAGCTACCTTCCAACCTTGGTGTTGACAGTCCACGAGCGTCCTTTCTTGCTAGAGGAGTGAATGGAGAGGGTGGTCTTGAGTCAGGGAGCTGTCAGCCTTGTAGGCACTGCCATGACTGGCAGCAAAGCTGGGAAGGCTCTGATGGGCAAAATCCAGTTTAAAAAAGACTATCTCATAGGTCATTCCAGCGTTTCTTTTTTTCTTTCTTTCTTTTCTTTTTTCTTTCATTCCAGCTTTTCAACGTGACATGTTTCAAAGGACTACGTTGTTGTTGTTATGTGCTGTCAAGTCGCTTGCGACTCATAGCGACCCTATGTACAACAACCCTAAACTCTGCTCTGTCCCGTGCCAATCGTACTGTCTCCGACACACCCATTCCAATTACCCCAGTCACTAAATCAATCCACCTCATAGAGGGCCTTCCCCTCCTGTGCTGTCCCTCCACCCTCCCAAGCATGATGTCCCTCTCCAAGAACCTGTTCCTTTTTACAACATGTCCAAAGTATGTTAGACGGAGCCTTAGAATCCTTGCCTCCAAGGAGCAGCCCGGTTTGACCCTTTCCAGGATGAATCTGTTTGTTTTCCTATCAGTCCATGGTACATTCAATACTCTTCTCCAGCACCACGGCATCAATTTGTCCATCCTCCTTAGTCACTGTCCAACTCTCTGATGCATAACAAGTTATCGCAAAGACCATGGCCTGCATCAGACACACCTTAGTCTCCAGAGTGACATCATTGCTCTTCAGTACTTTGGAGCGGTCCCTGACAGCAGACTTTCCCATGGCAATACATCTTTTAATTCCCTGGTTACTGGTGCCAAAAGTGTTGACTGTGGAGCCCAAAACTAAAGCTGTGAGCAATCTCAATCTCTTTACCATCCATCCTGATGCTGCCAATTGGTCCAGAGGTGAGAATCTTTGTCTTCTTGACATTGAGCCTCAACCCATATTGGAGGCTGCAGTCCTTGACCCTCTGCAGCAAGCTCTTCAGGTCCTCCTCAGTTTCAGCAAGCGGGGTTGTGTCATCTGCATAACGCAGATTGTTGATAGATCTTCCACCAACCCTGACACCACACTTCTACTCACAGAGCCCAGCCTCCTGGATAATCTGTTCTGCATACAGGGTGAAAAGGTATGGAGACAGGACACATCCCTGGTGTATGCCCTTCCCAATTTTGAACCATGCAGTGTTTCCTTGCTCTGTTCTGAAGACTGCCTCCTGGTCCAAGTATACGTTTCGCATTAGAATGATCAAGTGTTCTGAGATTCCCATTTTTCTCAGAGTCAGCCACAGTTTGTTATGATCCACACAGTCAAACGCCTTTGCATAATCAATGAAACACAGATAGACATGCTTCTGGTATTCCCTGCTTTCAGCTAAGGTCCATTTAATATCAGCTACAATATCCCTAGTGCCATGACCCCTTCTAAACCCAGCCTGGGCTTCTGGCAGTTCTCTGCTGATGTGCTGTTCCAGTCGGTTTTGGATAATCTTCGGTAGAATCTTGCTTGCATATGAAATCAACAATATTTTTCTATAATTTCCAAAATCGGTTGGGTCCCCCTTTTTTGGGATGGGAACAAATATAGATCTCTTCCAGTCAGTTGGCCAAGTGGTTGTTCTCCAGATTTCTTGGCAAAACTTAGTTAGCACATCCAGGGCAGCATCTGTTAGCTGAAATATGTCAATTAGTATACCATCTATTCCTGGGGCCTTATTTTTTTGCTATTTCCTTCAAAGCAGCCTGAATTTCTTCCTTAATCACCATAGGCTCTTGCTCATATGTTGTTTCATGAAATACTTCTGTGTCTGCCAATTCCTTTCAATACAGTGACTCAGTATATTCTTTCCATCTTCTTCTAATAGTTCCTGGATATGTCTGTAAAAATAGGAGAACTAGTAAGATGTGGATAAATGTCCAAATGGGGGAGGCAAGGAGGCGGGGGGTGAAGGGGAGGGAATTAGGATAACAGAGCTTGGTGAGGGAGCAGGGGAAGGAATTAGGAGGTCCAATAGGGATCTGAAAAGACAGGGCA